GTGTGTCGGAGGATATTTTGATTTAAAAAATAATTTTTTTTGGTGACATCGGTCCCAATCGGATAGGAGACTTCGTTGAGAATTTTAGATTTTTGGTGACGTCGGTCCCTATTAGATAGGAGACTTCGTCGAAAAAAAAATATATTTTTTTTTAAAGAAAAATTTAAAATTTTAATTAACTAAAATCAAATGAAACAAGTTTCAAAAAAATTAAATATATCGAAATCATCATCCGTTCCTAATAAATAGGAGACTCGTTGATACAATATTTTAATCATAAAAAAATTTCATGTTAAAATAAATTTCACAACTATGTATCTTCAAATTTTCTAACATACATATGTAAAATAATAAAAATAAAGCTACAAAACACATAAAATAAATCAAACAATACAAAATTCACTTATATTGTAAAATTACCAAAATGCCCCCGGAATGCCAAAAGTCACCGCCAAGTGACCGTTCGCATTCCGGTGATCGTTCGTGCGCGTGGACCATCCGGACTTGTAGATCGGATCGTTGCGAGTCCAATGGTGGTGTTATCGACCGGAGAAGACGTCGGAGGAGGGAGATCGGAGCCTCCAAAGGTTCGGTCGGATCTCTCTTCTTCACCGACGATGAATCCGACCTCTTCTCGGGATTCCAAGCACACCGGTCGACTCGCCGAGTTGAGAGAAGAAGTTTTGTGGTGGTTAGAACCTCCAATTTGGCCTAGATCGGTCAATTTTACCGAGTTTGCCAAAATGGGTCGAAAACGGGTTGACCTCAATTAAATTTGATCGGAAAACGATCAATTAAGGGTCAAAGTTTTCGGACGGGTTAACGGGTAATCGGGTCCGGTTTGATGGGTTAGGACGTGTTTGCCTTCTTCTTTTTAGGTTTTCGGTATTTTTTTTCTTTTTTTTTTGGGCTGCGTTTTTTTTCCCTCTTCTCCTTTTTCGCAAATTAAAATCCGAAAGCTTTTTATAGGCCGAAAACATCCTAAAATTTCTCCCAAAATCAAATCAAATTTTAATTATCGAATCTTAAATTTGAGATTTTTCTAGCTAAAAATAAGGAGATTCTAATTAAAAAAGATTGGTGGAAGATTTCAACAGATTTTTTGGAGATTTTATATTTTTTCCTTTTGTTGTTTTTTTGTTTTTTTTTTTGGTTTTATTATTCTTTTTTTTTTCCTTTTTTGATTTTTTCCTTTAAAGGAAAAATTGGGTTATGACAAAAAAAAAAAAACCTAATGAACTAAATCTAAAAATATAAAATTTTAAAAAATCAAATCAAAAATTAAAGTTTAAAGATTAATTTTCGAATAGATTAAAATTTAAGAAAAATTTGACACATTTAGCTAAAATAAACTTATCGGCCATCAACTGTTTTCAAGAGTTTTATATTGCCTCTCTGGACACTTATTTTCATTCTCTGAGCATCATAGATTACACTTTTGTGGTACTGTTTAAAACTGTCTGTTTTAACTCTGACATGCTACCTATCGTGACTACTGTAGGCCAAATTATATGTTTTTGCTATAATACCAAGCAATTTGTCAACCATCAATATCTTTTGAACTATCACTTTATTATGTTTCGCATTTATGAAGTCTAACATTGGATTCAATTTCAACCATCATCAACTTTTCTTCCTTCTCTAGAACACACGAGGTTTTGACTTGGGGCGAGGAAAGGTTAATGTAAGTTCCTGTTTTCTGTAGCAGCCAATGAAAATTGTTTTCGGAGAAAAATTAAAGTTAAACGTGTATTTGAACCTTTGCAAATGTCCCGAGTTTCTTCTATATTTACGGCGGAAAAAACAAGAAGTTTCTTGTTCAAAGGAAGAAAAGAAAAGTTTTCGTGTAAAGTTTTGTAGTTATTAGTCCTGCCCACAGATTTGGCGTATTCGTCCATGATTCTGGAAACTCTACCCAAAAACAGGAAGCAAAAGGCCAATAAGAAACAGCCTGCCCATAGATTTGGCTTTGTAAGTAAGACCACTCCCTTCTAAATCAAGGAAATGTACGGACACGTTAACGTGGAGTGGGTGTCAAGCCCTCCAGATATTTTGTAATTAATGAACAGCCAAGGGTAGTCACATCACACTATTTTCGTTTTAATAGCATATTTGTTCCCTCTATTCATGACATTTTCTTAATATAGTTCTTTTATTCTTTTTTTATTTATTTATTGAATCCTTCTACTTTATATATATATATTTTTAACATGGTCTTTTAGACGGAATTTCGATTAATTTTCTAATAACAAGTGACACATGAACTGACCTGCCACAAAAAATTGACACATGAAATTTTTTTTTTGAAAAATAAAAAAATAAAAAATTTATAAAAGAAAGAAAAATAAATAAAAAAACAAAGAATTATAAGAAAAGGAAAGAAATCTAGATTTACTGAAAAACCGATGACTGAGAAAAACAAATCAAATTACTATTTCTCTTTTATCATCCTCCATTCTCTCTTCAAGATTCAATTCAAAAATACAAATAATAATAAAAAAAAACTCATTTTATAGTTTTAGAAATTTCTTGGTCGGCTTCTCTTTATTTCTTTCTAATTTGAATATTAAGTTAGGTTTTTTTTTGTTTTTTTGGCTATGATTTGAGTTTGTTGGCAATAGAATTTGTGTGGGATGTTGACGAAGATTTTGGATTGGTGAAGATATTTCAATTTTTATACATTAATTGATACATAATTTAGATTTGAGAGATGATGGGAAAAAACCTCTTTTTCTCTAATATTTATCTAAAAAAAACTCTCTTTATTCTTTTTTTTTTTTCCCTGCTATCATTCTTTCTTTATCGCTATTTTCTCTAATAACTCTCTTTTATTATTTTCGTTATTGTCGTCATTTTTGTTCTCTCTTCCTCTTATTACCATCTAATCCACTCAAAATACCAAAAAAAATACAATCTCTCTGCTCTCCTTAACCACTGGCTTGCCACCATCTCTTCTTAAACATCCACCGTAGAGAGAAAATTGTCCCATATCTGTTTAAAGTGGAAGTAGTAGTTTTGTCTGGATTTGAACTCTATCTATTTCCTAATTAGTATTGAAATTTATTTGATTTTTTTTTTTTTTGGTTTATTGATCTTGCAATTAAATCTCGATAAAAAAAAAATAGTTGAATCTTCACTATTACAATATCTGTGTTTTGGGCTTTGATTTTTCAAACAGAGGTGATAGGCTTTGATTTTGAAGGATTTTTGCCTTTTTGGACTTACAAAATTCTAAATTGAAAAAAAAAACTTGGTTGATTTACATACAGAGTTGTTGGACTTTGATTTTTGAGAATATTTGCTTTTTGGGTTGTTGAGAATTCAAATTTGAAGTAATTTTGATTGATTTCCTTTTCTTAATCATTATTTTTTAATGTAGTTTATAATTATTGGATTAAGGTTTAGAAGATCTTTATTTATTTATTTATTGTGTATGTATGATTTTTCTTTTTATTTTACAAATATTTACATTTTTCTTTTATTTTATTTTGTTATTCTATTTTATTTTATCTTTCAATTTTTTTTGTTAGGTGTCAATTTTGTGTGTCCCATATTAGAAGAGTGAAAGATTGAACTAATTTTCACTATTTTTATCAGTATCTAATTAGCAAGATCAATAAATCAAAAACAAATCAAATTAGTTTCAGTACTAATTAGAGAAATAATGAGAGTTCAAATCTAAATAAAGCTACTAATTCTACTTGAAAACGATAAGAGACAATTTTCTCTTTATGGTGGATGTTCAAGAAGAGATGTTGGATGGTGGACCAGAGGAAAGTGTAATTTTTTTTATTTTTAGAGTGAATGGTAGATGTTCACACATTATTTTTTATTTAAAAATAATATAACCGAACACAATGAAACACGTTTAGAAAAAATGTAGAATAAAAGGATTATAAATAAATAAAAAATAAAAGGGTTATATTAAAAAATATCAAGAATAAAGGGATGAAACTGTCGAAGCATACTATTAATCCCATAATTTTCGACGTGCCTAGTTTATAAGTCATCACCTCACCGCTCATTGGAGAAGGAAGGACGTGACTAGTTTACTAATTATTATTATTTTATTTTTTTCTGAGAAACAGATAGTATGTACTTCAGAGGATGATGACACGTGATATGAATGGAATGAGAATTAGAGTTCCAACTGCAGTTAAGGAGCGTGAAATAAAGAATAATTATTGGATTTAATTTTTTTTTTTTTTTTTTTTTACCATGAGGGACAAGAGAGATAGATATCATTTGAATGTATTCCATACGAATATAAAGAATAATTATTTTAAAAAAATACTCACTTTTAGTTTTAACTTTTTTTATCTTTAATTAATTATATACTTAATGATGTTGATGAATTCATGATAAAAAAATATTTTTTTATATTTATTCCATGTATTCTTTAGTTTTTTAATTAAAATTTTATATTTTATTTTATATTGATTTAATTTTTTATTTTTTTATTACCGTCTCTATGTTATTACACTATTAATTTGTTAGCTGACATAACATGTTAGTTTTGTTTAAATTGTGATCATTAATAAAATGATGTGTTATTAAAAAAAAACGAAACTAATTTTTATTTATTAAAAATTGAATATTTTTTTTGTGAACAAAATTCTAAAAAAAAATCATTTCAAAGAAGTTGAAAATATAATTTAAAAAACAATTTAAAAAATTACGTGGTTGAAAAGGTAGTACTTTTTATTTTAGAAATACTTAAAAAAAAATCAAAGAATAATTTAGGAGTCTCTAAAGGACTCATAATTAAAATATTTTATCTAAAAGATCCTATCTTTTCATTATCTACAAATGATATGATTTTTTTAAATATTTATGATATATTAATATTGTTTGACACATGATGACCTAACCAGAATTCTTCCCACCGACCCGAAATTATGATTCTAACCATAATTTTCAAATTAGAGATGCTCGTTTGTTACTGTTCTATAACGTAAAAGGCGCGTGGCATTTAAAGCAAATCTAACATACAATATCTTATGCAGACCTTCACAAGGTTGACCGTTCCTTCCCTGACCCGCACTGCCCCCTTGGCCCTTGCCTCCCACTTTCCCCCTTTAAATGCTCCTATCACCCCTCTATGCAGACAGATCATCCAACACAACAGCTCTCATCTCTCACTTTTCACTATGCAAAAGAGTGCTTCAGCTGCTTCTTTAGGCCCAGGGGGTCTAGACCTATCTGATAGCTTCTTCAAACCAATCCAAAACACATCCGCACCATCACCCACCAAACGCCATACCAAAATCTCCGTTATCGGTGCTGGTAATGTAGGCATGGCAATAGCCCAAACGATTTTAACCCAAGACTTAGCTGATGAGCTTGCCCTTGTTGATACCAACGCTAACAAGCTCCGTGGAGAAATGCTTGATCTCCAACATGCTGCAGCTTTTTTACCCCGCACGAAAATTCTTGCGTCCACTGATTACTCTGCCACTGTTGGATCTGATATTTGTATTGTTACTGCTGGGGCTCGACAGATTGCCGGGGAGTCTAGATTGAATTTGTTGCAGAGGAATGTTGATTTGTTTCGGGGGATTATACCTCCTCTTGCTCGGTATTCTCCTGAGATGATCTTGATGATTGTTTCGAATCCTGTTGATGTGTTGACTTATGTGGCGTGGAAGTTGTCGGGGTTTCCTTCGAATCGGGTTCTTGGATCTGGTACTAATTTGGATAGTTCCAGGTTTCGGTTCTTGATTGCTGATCATCTTGATGTCAACGCCCAGGATGTGCAGGTGAGGGTTTCTTTTTTTTAAAAAAAAAAAAAAATTTCTTTGAGTATTTATGCAAAAGCACAATTTGTCCCACTGCAATTTTCTCGAGCATGTTCAGTGTGGTTTTGTGCGACTTTCATTATCAAGTGTGAGGCTTTGGTGCGTGAGAGCTGGCAGATAATACATTGAATTCTACAGAAAAGAAAAAAAGAAATGTTTAATTATGCTTGTGCATAGTTATTGTGCACATTTTGATTAAAAAATATTTCTCATGAGCGAATCACGTGGTCAGCATTGAAAAGTGACATTGCTATTTGCATTTGAATTTTTTTACATTTCTATAGGAAAAATGGTTTCTGAATCTGGACTTTTTCTTTGGTAGGCATTCATCATTGGTGAGCACGGGGATAGCTCTGTGGCATTATGGTCTAGCATAAGCGTAGGGGGAGTGCCCGTATTGAGCTTCTTAGAGAAGCAGCAAATTCCCTATGAGAAGGAGACACTAGAGACGATTCACAAAGCAGTCGTAGATAGTGCGTATGAAGTGATTAGGCTCAAGGGCTACACATCTTGGGCAATTGGGTACTCAGCTGCTAACTTGGCTCGGTCCATACTCAGAAACCAGAGGAAAATCCACCCTGTTTCAGTTCTTGCAAAGGGGTTTTATGGCATTGGTGACGGGGACGTGTTCTTGAGCCTGCCTGCACAGCTAGGCAGAGGAGGGGTTTTGGGGGTGACCAATGTGCATCTGACGGATGAGGAGGCAGAGAGGCTTAGGGACTCTGCTAAGGCCATCCTGGAGGTCCAAAACCAGTTGGGACTTAAATAGACGTTTGTGTCCATGGGTGCTTCCTCCTCTGAGTACTCCGCGCTTAATTATCATTTCTCTTCGATTTTTTTGCACTTTTCACTCAGCAATCAGTATCGATGAGATTTTCACGTAATGGATCCCTTTCTTTCCTGAGTTATGGCTTTGTGTTCCTTAATATATAATAATTACTGGATGGATGAATTTTAGTTTTTACTGTTATGGTCGTCAGTGGTCACTTTTGCAGTAGCACGCTGGCTTAACATCAATTTCTGGCATATTTTTTTTTTGTTAAACCTACTATTTATTTCTACCATTTTCATAAATCTATCAAGTTTTTATATTTTTAATTTAGTGTATTGTTAAATTTGATTTTAAAAAATTAATAATTTTTACACATCGGATCGAATAAAAATATAATAATCTCACTTTATATAGTTTTATTATTCATATTAAAATATAAAAACTATTGATTTTATAAAATTGTAGTTAATTAAATGAAATTGAAAATACACATGTTTAATTGATAGTTTATTTCATGGATTTATAAAAACACTATGTAAACAGTGGATGTAGCTCACATTTCTTTGACTCTTTTAAATAATCTCTGTAATGGCATTTTATGAGTTCTGCTTCGAAGTCCCCATTACCTGGAACGAGTAACTAGGAAAATCATATGAGAAGATTCTTGCATACCCTCAAAGGCACTATGCCCTAAAATTTTTACTTGCATAAGAGTTGGAACAGGCTGCAGATCGGGGATGATGATGAAACTCACGATCAAGTTTCTAATAAATTCATAACCATACGTAAATTCAAAATTAATATCTAGATATCTATACCCTCATATATATATAATCCGGAATGATAATTATAAAAAAATCATGTCTTCTCAAATTCATATGAATCAAATAGCCATCTCTAAAGCAGATGAAATAATGAAGGTCTATAATCATTTTATATTCTCACTATTCATGTGATGTAATTCATCATTCAATATGAGAAATTGAAATGGTGATGTAATTTATTCAATTATTTATATATCTTTTAATGATTAATAGTCCTTCTCAATTCTCTTCCTAATTTGAAGCCTATAAATAGGCTTGATTATTCATTAGTTTGTGTAGAAGTATTTTGTAAATATTAAGAGATTATTTGGAGTTGTTATCTCTTGTGATCTTCAATTCACCATCCAATATGAGAAATTGAAAGGGTGATGCAATTTATTCAATTATTTATACATATTTTAATGGTTCATATTCATTTCCAATTCTCTTCCTAATCATGAAGTCTATAAATAAACTTGATTATTCATTAGTTTGTGTAGAAGTATTTTGTAAAGATTATGAGATTATTTGGAGTTGTTATCTCTTGTATTCACTTTATCTTATAATGAATTCATTTTTCTATCATCTTTTCTTTAATTCTACTATTGTTACCATTTCTTTTATAATACTTTATCAGCACGAAATTCTAACCAATCTAAATAATAGACCATAAGATATGTATCTACCAAAAGACTCAATTATTTATTTATATCATTGGATTGTTTCTCTACACGAGTGTTCTATCAAAAGATCTAAATTATTTACATCATTAAGAGGTATGTATCTAATTTATTATATACTTTAAATCTAATGATACATAGAGTATGCATTTAAAAAATTTAAATAATTTAATATATAAAATCTAATGATTTAATATATATTGTTTGCAAAGTTTTAATTTTTTTATTAAATTTTTTTATTAAATTTTATTTTCATTTCCTAATATTATTATTATACTTTGCATTACAAAATTTTTGTGATATCAAAACTCACAAAACTTGATTTTATGGCCCTTGACATTTTGAGCAAGAATTATTGATCATGAGTGCTTGATACCGACTAAATATTATCTATTTTTCATATCTTGAATATGCTCATGCAGTAACATATCGAGAAAAGGAGTTTAAGAAATATTATGAATCGATTTTATACTCGATCGTGGCTAAATAAAATAACAAGCTATTGATGAAAAAGACTAAATCTCATCCAATTGGATTTACTCCATTCCCCGAAGTGAATGTGATAGATTATAATAATTTTAGGTATGGACGAAGATGTGTTCATAGCCATGGACGTGATTGGAATAATTATTATTATAATCGTAATGACCATAATAATATATCTCACAACCAAGTAGTGAATAAACTATGAAAAAAATAAGAAAAGAATAAAAATAGATGAAGTCGGTAATCTAAAAATGAATGTTCTATTTATGATATGAATGGAGATTGGTCATGTATTTACCGTACACCAAAACACCTCATTGAGCTTTGTCAACCATCGTTGAAAAAAAGAGAGTAAAATATAGAGGCTAATTTTATATATCAAAATGGTAATAATTGAAATTAATAGCTTGTTAGTTTTTTTTATATATAAATAAGATATTTTATATTTTCTTATAATTTCTATTGCATAGAGATAGATATAAATTTATTTTACTATTTATTTATTTAAGTTTATGAAGAATTGATTTATTTATTTATTTTATGTTACTATTATATATGATAATATCAATTTAACGAAAGCTCTAGAAAAACGATTATATTATTATCCGAAGAGATAAATTTTTTATGCTCTAAAAGAGTGAATATTATTACTTGAAGAAATAACTTATAAATGCTCTAAAAGAGCGAATATATTATTACTTGAAGTGATATAATTTAAAGACTTTAGAAGGGCAAATATGTTGTTATCCGAAATGATAAATTTTACTTTAAATGATGTACTATTCTCTCTAAAGTTTCATAAAATTTTATTGAGTTTTAAAGATAAGTCTAAATGGACATCATATCAAGACAACAAATGTGAAAAATGTTGAATTCTTGAATAATATAATTACTTCGGATTGAAAATATGTTTTGAAAAAATTACCCACTTGCTCCTCTAATCGTTACTATAAAAGCCGAAATGATTGTAACAAATGCTATAATAAACCGAAATTTACTAATCCAAATACTTTTATTATGTGGCATGACCATTTGTGTTATTTTGGATCTTTCATGATGCGAAACAAATCATTAAAAATTCATATGAATAACTATTAAAGAGCTAGAAGATTCTTCGACTTAATGAATTTCATATTACGCACGTTCTTAAGATAATTGATTATTAAGCCATCACAAAGTAAAATTAAGATTGAATTTTTAGTATTTTTAGAATGTATTCAAGGTGATTTATGTGATTAATTCATCCACCATGTAGATCATTTAGATATTTTATAATTTTAATAAAAGCTTCTATAGGATAGTTACATATATGCTTATTATCTACTCGAAACCTAATGTTTTTATAGCTGCTTGCTTAAATAATTTAATTTTGACTATAATTTTCAGATTATGCCATTAAAATAATTCGTTTTGATGATACCGATGAATTTATTTCTCAAGCATTAAATGATTGTTGACTCGCTATTAGAATAAAGGTTGACCAATCTATTTTCTCATATTCATACTTAGAAAAGGTTTAGCAAAATCATTTATGAAAAGGCTCTAATTGATAGCTAAACCATTATTGAAAAACAAAAATCCATGTTTATGCTTAGGGACATATAATTTTACATGCAACAACATTTCTTCCATCAAACCCATAAATTATCAAAAATTCTCCTTTCTTTGAATAGTCATGAGCCAAATATTTCATGTTAAATTTTTTTTTTAGCATTGTAGTATATATCTGCAGTGCTCCTCCATAAGGAACTAAAATCAACACTTAAAAAAAGATTGAAAATATATGTTGGATTTGAATTTTTTTTGATAATTAAATATCTTAAACCAAGAATAAGAGATATTTTTATAGTTTGATTTATCGAATATCATTTTGATGAAACGGTTTTTCCAATATTAGGGTGAGAGAATAAGCAAAATAAGCGATTAAAAATGTTAGGAAAAAATGATTACATGGAGTACTGTATCTTTATATCATTTTGGTATAAAACAATATGAACTAAAAATTCAAAAGATAATTCGTTTATAAAGAATTATAAATCATCCGCTAGATGCATTCTCGGATTCTAAAAGAGTAACAAATATACATGTCCTCACCGAGAATGCTCCTATTAGAATTGTTATCCTAGATGGACAATCTATTAATGTTATAACAAATGAATCTAAAACATACCCGAAGCATAGAGGATCGATCGGTTCTAAAAGTAAAAATCCCTAAAAAGAAAGGGGTAATTAATTAAAATAAAGGATGTAAATATTTATAAAATAGTTTAAGATATTTCTAAAAATAAGCTTCTAAAAGAAGTTCAAATGCTTAAGAAAAATCAAGAGATTTTGATAAATTATATCGATAAAGGAAGAAAATAGGACTAAAAGAAACATTTATTAATAAGATTTTTGCATATAATGTTTCGAGTTGATGTTTTAAATGAAAATAAGGATCTTGGGCCAAAATTTATTGAAGAATATCAACATAAAGATGGTTAGCCTTGTTAGTGTAAGTGTCTAAGGTCCAACCATGTTTAGATGTGTTTGAGTTATTATATAATTACATCATTTATTTTAATAATAATAAATAAAGTCTTTCTATTAATTCTTATGTTTTTATGTTTATTAATTCAGAAGAATTAGATAGAAGTCCTTATGATATGCATTTGCAATAGTGATTGTTTGAAAGATGTGAGATAAACACTAATATATATAAATGATACATTAAATGTCCTAAGTCATACCACATGCTTGGAAACTTTGTGTGATTTATTTAGGATCTTAGAGTGATTTCTGGGTAAAACTCAAAGAAAAAAGTTTTTTATCTATGTGTCTACTAGCTCTCTGTAACATTTCGTGATTTTTAGATCTATATATAAAGATTTATAGCCGATTTGGTACAAATTATTTGGATGTACCACATGTTGGAAATTTTTAGTTCTGAACTTTGTATGATTTGTTTAGAGATCTTAAAGTAATTTCTGGATAAAACTCAAAGAATAAAAGTGCTTCCTCTATGTGTCTACTAGCTCTCTGTAAAATG